GTTACTGCACCCGTCGAAGCTCTCCGTGTTTTCTTGGGTCTGAGGGACTGCTACACACTTTCTACATATCAACTTCCTACTTAAGCTCTAACCTCTTTCATATTGTAACAGCTTGAATTTATGTAACCAGGTGAAAAATGGGTACATGTCAAATGTATTTTGTAAACCATGTTTTGCTTTTATTTCACCGACTGGTTGTAATTCTTGTTTTTGTCAGCATGTGGTGCTGTTGTTACAGAGAGGTCTAAAATTACCGGAAGTAGAAAAACCTTCTTGTTTATGTACTGTGGCACTAACTGGTAAAACGGAAGAGAAGGACATTTTTTGATCCGAGACCTGGTGGAGAAGACGGCTATGGCCACATGAGAGAAAAATCCAAGTGTTCGGTAATTAATGTTGGAACTGAATTACCTTCCGTGGACAAAGCTACAGAGATTAAGCTAATGTCATGTTTTTCTCTTTGTCCTCTTCTAGAGGTGCCACTGCTGTTTGTTTGTTATGCCATTATATGCTGTTCGATTTCAGCTTTTATGTGAAGCTGCGTTCTACTCTATTGAGTGCTAACCGCGTTGTTAGCCCGCCATTTCGCTGAAGCTAAGGCTTTCTACCATTCGAAATACGGGCCACTTATTTCTCCATATATTGAATCTCATTCTTTTTTTTATTTTGTTTTAACTCAGAGGGAAGTGTCTTTTTGAGATTAAAGGACCCCTTCTATGTGAAGCTCCGTGTGCTTTATTAATCCCGGCTTCACATTTATTTCCAAGTTTTAGTGAGAACAGTGATCTGAGGGTCTTCCAAAACAACAAAATTGTTTCATTAATAATAATCCATATCAGTTTAAGTATGGATATCAATTCTTAGTCCTTCAAGGTTAAGTCAAGCAACTAGAGACACAGCATTCCCTTCAGGACACTGACAAAGCAGATCTTCTGATAAATGCTTTATCTAACCAGGATATAATGATTGGTGAATAGACCCTATAATCACTCTGTCAACAATTATTGTTAAATATTAACCAGGTAACCATATAAAAGGACCAGAAATCATTTCATTTAGTCTGAGTTTTGGGGACAGCATCAACATGAATTTCACTACTTGGATGTTGGTCTTGTTCTGTGGTCTAACTTTGGCCCAGGATGATGTTAATGAAACAGAAACACTGTCAAGTTTTCCTGAAATGTCAATCTTGCTCCAAGAGCTCGGTGCTGTGAAAGCAAAACTGGAAGCTGTGGAAACAAAGCTGAAAGAGACCAAAAGCCAGGTTCTGGTGGTTAACGATAAAGGTAAATCCTTGGAAACAAAGCTGAAAGAAACCGAAAACCAGGTTTTGGTGCTTCAGGAGAAAGGTAAAGTCATATTTATTAAATTTTTTTTTACTGGTTTCTCAGTTTCATTGAGGCTTTTGAAACAGCTAGAACCATTCTCCATTTATATTTTTGTTTTTATCTAGAAGCATACAAGGTAGTTTTCAGTGCTGGAATTGGTGGTGGAGCCATTGGACCCTTCAGCACATCAAAGACCTTGGTCTACACACGAGTCATAACGAATCTGGGCAATGCCTACAATCAGCACACTGGTAAGTTGAGTTGTTGTAATTTTCCATTCCAAATATTCTGGAAAGACTCATTTAATTGTCCAAAATTTTCACTTTCCAATTTAAACCTAAAATAATATCTAGGAATGAAAGCCATTATGTAATATAAAAATTGAAACATGTATTAAAATCCCCTTAACTGTCGCCCCCAAAACACCTACATGGAAGTTAAAGGGCTCAGTTAAGGGCATAAACATTAAGTTAGAGTTTTTCACAAGGCAACAGAATTTATTTGACTCTTTGTTTCCACAGGTATCTTTGTTGCACCTGTCAGAGGCATGTACTACTTCTCCTTCTTCTATCATGCTGGTGGAGGACATCCTGTGGGTCTGAACCTCATGAAGAACAATCAGCTGGTTGTGCAGAGCTCTGACCACAAGACACTGAATGACACGGCTGACAACGGAGGCAATGCAGCCTTTATGGAGCTGCAGCAGGGAGACCAGGTCTACGTCCAGATGCAGCCAAACACACATATTTGGGGAAGCAGCTACAGAACTACTTTTAGTGGTTTTCTTCTGCATCAAGTCTGAAAAAACATTATTGAGATCATTTGAATGGCTTAAAACAACTGACCAGACACTGACCATGGTTAGTGTTTTTTTTTTTTTTTCATATAGGTCTCTGAGTGGACATTATGATTTCTATGATGTGTTTCAATCTGTGTCTAATTGATCTGAACAGAATCTACAGTCATATTTACAATTAAGGCAGTGTTTCCTAATTATTTTCTGTCGTGCCCCTACGCCCCCAGGGATCATAATTCTTTTCATGCTCCCACCCCCAGTGCCTTTCCCTCCCCAGAATTGAAATACTATGGCAAATGTGATAATATTTAATAATTTATCCATGCAAATCACTTTCTCCAACATTGTATGATCGTATTAACAAACAGCTGGTTTATTGTTATAAGTCTCAAAATATTCAAGTTCAGTTTATTAAGTCAATCAGTAAACTTTAATCTACTCAGTTTGAAAGAGAAAAAGTGCAAATGATTCACTTTGATGTGCATTTTTAGACTCAATACAGTAAAACTTTTTACAACTGTACATTCTGGTGACTAGTCAGCTTCTTCAGTTTAGTTTTTAACAAGGTATATAGTTTTTAACATTTACTGTGAAAAATCTGCAGCAATATTATTTATATTTCAGCTTGTCAGATAAGATGAAAAGTGCATAACATTTTGCATTAACAGTAAAAACGGAGGCTTTGTCTATTTTCTGGCCTTTTACTGAGAGCTACAGTTAGTTTCTTATGAATGAGCATAAGGGCCAGGCTAAGAGATTTTGAATTGTGTTTTAAATACGAGTAAAGTTGGACGAGTCCTAATTTTATAACTTTTCACCATACTGCGCTAAAATGGGGAATTTTTGATGGTCTTCTGAGGTTGTAGTTGGTTTTACAAATAAGGAAATACTTAATATTTTAACACACTGGAATGAAATTATCAGCCCCAGGACTTTGAAACGATTGTTTAAACAACTTTCTATTTCAAAGAAAGACCCAGACTGGCTGAGTGGGTCACGTCACGTCGAAGGTTTTTGATTTAACGACTTTCTACCGGCAATATCGCATCTTTATTCTGCTAATAGGTTCTCATAGTATTATGACTGTATTCTTGTATTTGAAAATAAAAATCTCTTAAGAGACAGAAACAACCACATGTCTCTCTTCCTGGCTCTTAGATGTTTCAGGCAAGACACAAAAATGAGCCACAAACCAGAATGTAAAATCACTCACAAGACATTTATTAAATCAATACATTTGGCCAAATGGAGAATTAAGAATGAGAGTGAGGACTTCATGGTTTTATCTCTCATCCTCGCACCGAGACATCGCGAACCCCTCCAACTATTCCTATACACACAAACTATACCTGTCAAATCCTCTCCTGCATAAAACACTCCACTCATAGCTGCTAAACATTTAAGGAGTTGTGCTTTCTTAGATGTTTCACCTTCAACTTCTGCTGCTTGGACACCCTGACCGGCTGCTGATCCTGATCTGCCACAATTATCGCTCCATATTTAACTGTGGTATACGAACAGGGTTATTCATCTCATCCTTAGCTGGAACATTTCAAACTATAATGAGAATATAAGTTTGTAAAGGGTTTAACACAGTCTAGGAATATAAAGCATTTTATTTGATATCCAAAATATGCAAAACTCATTCAAAGCATGAGCGTACTTGATAACATTTTTTTTAATTTATCCACAATATCAAATATACGTTTTACAGAATCAAACACTATATCATTGTATCTGCACCTCTAAAGTAAATGGTTTACACCTTTATGTAGTAGTTGTTAAAAATTAACAGTCTTCAAACAGCATGAATGGAGTGAGGAACAAGTCACTGGTAGATTTGGAGACGCAGTAACTCATCAAGATGGCTGATCTTCAAAACCTCAAAGAAGAGCTTAAAGCTATGAAAGAGAAACTGAATGAGATGGAAAACCAGATTCTTGACCTCAAGAAAAAAGGTAATTGCTTGATAAGGAAACTACTTAAAACATAGAATTGAAAGTTGTTTTTTTTATTCTACTTTTAAAAATATTTATCTACCAAGACTCAACCAAAGTGGTGTTCAGTGCCATAGCCACTGGAAATGGACACACTGGACCCTTCAACACAGACAAAACCATAATCTACAATACTGTGCTAACGAATGTGGGCAAAGCCTACAATCACTTTACAGGTAGGTAGAGCTGTGCTTGCATTCTTTCTGTCTCTCTCTTACTTTTCGTCTCTCAGTCTCTCATATATACCTAATAATATTTATATATTTACTCATCCTCCCGACCCCACTAGTGATAAGGGTCTAACATAATGGACAGATATTTATTTATTTTTGTGCAGGGATCTTCACAGCACCAGTTGCAGGTGTTTATTACTTCAGCTTTTTCTACCACGCCGGAGGAGAATGTCAAGCACGACTGTATCTCTACAACAACAACAAGTTAGTTGTCATGACGAGTGACCACAAATCAACACAAAACGTAGCTGATAATGGAGGGAACGCCGTGTTCCTGCATCTGCTGCCAGGGGAACAGGTGTATGTCAAACTGGCACCATATTCACATGTTTGGGTGGGGGGAACCCACACCACTTTCAGCGGCCACTTAGTGTATGAAATGTAAACAAAGAAATGTCAGATTTTGGCCACAATATATGGAATCATTTCATTAATATTGATTTATTAGCATTTGCTAACATTTAATGAAAAGTTGAGAACAAATCAGAATCAACAAATTTGTAGTAACCACAAAAATTATGAAGGAAAAGCTTATTGAAATGCAAATGTACTTTGACAAATTGTAATCACGAGTTTTCTTCAAGGTAATTTTAATGACTGATTAGACAATTTTAGTGCATCTCTTAATAACTAGAATCTAACCAGATGTTCCTTTTGAAAATCACCTTTAGGCAGATATCAAACATTATTTTAATTAAGAGCACTTTACTGTATTAAAATGTTTTTTTATTGGTCTGATGTAATATTTTAATCTTAATTGTTGTGTTTTCGTCAGCTGTAAGCAGGAAATGTTCATAACTAATGGAAATCAAGGCTTGAATTGAGTAACAAATGCAAATAAACTTTTCAGTTCCCAAATGTATTGAATATGACTGGGTATCTTCTCAACAAATTGATTCGCTTTGCTGCACACATGTAACAACCATCTATTCTTTTTGACATGTACAACAGAAACATAAGAGGTGTGAGAACAGAACCACAGAGAAATGCAGAATTTAGAGGTCAAGTGATTTTAGTTCATATTTTATTCTAATTTATGTTGTACCAATTTCAAGCACCGATAACCATCAAAAAAGGATTTAAAAATAATTTAAGCAAATA